TGTACCATGACTTCTAAGATGTCTCATCCTTTTATGTGGCTACCTCATTCTTGTCCTTCAGGTTTTAGCCCAGATGTCATTTCCTTTGAAAATCCCCTGGTGGTCACCATGGTACCCCCCACGCATCCTTGTGATCACTTTCTTTTGTAACACCCTTACCATTTTCTTTGTGACACTCATCATAGGCTGCAGTGGTCTTGTTTATGTATCTGCTTCCTTATTTCTCACCCACTAGGATGTAAGTGCCACTGGGCCACGGACCACCCCTGGCCTACCACCTGGCAGAGCAGACACCAAATGAAAACAGAGCAGGTTTACTACTGGCTGAGGTAAAGCTAATTTTTGAAACCTGAAGATTAGTAGTGATTTGGTTGGTTTTATTTCCGTTTAAGTGTATTAACAGGGCTATTACTACATTAAATGTGGTAAAGACTCCCTATAACTGCCTTAGCAAAAGATTATAAATGCAAATATAATTTTTCCTTCGATAATGCACAATAAATATCTTGAGGATTCTAAGAGAACCTAATGAAGGTGATGGCCTGAATAATGAATAAACTGCTTTCATTAAGTAAATATGGGCCAACTATACAAGGCAGTGGCAAAGGTGCATTTTACCTGGTCTCTTGAAGTTAAATTGTAACATGTATACTTCTAGCTCTACTTATGGTAATATTTTGAGTAGTTTCACAATAAAATGCTTTAGGCTTTCAAATTTTATGATAGAGTTTTTAGGAGATTAAAAGTTTGCTTACCAAAAAGTAATAGAAAATGATACGAAAAATAGGGTCTAATGCTTTCATAATTATACTATTTGCATTTTGTCTTGCAATTGCTCTTTACAGAAGTGCTAATGGAAATTGTTAAACCTTTTGTGAACTTACAGAAACAAAAATGCATTTTAATGTGGTTGAGGCAGTAACCAAACAAATATATCGTTAGCGTTAATGATAGTGAAACTGCCTAGAATGCTGTGCTCTTACAAATGGGAGAAGAGATGGCCACGTTTCCTGTTATAAAAGGCTTCCAGTGACACGTGGGTGGCTCAGTCGTTAAGCATCTGCCTTCGGCTCAGGTCATGATCCCAGGGTCCTGGGATCGAGCCCCGCATCGGGCTCCCTGCTCCGAGGGAAGCCTGCTTCTCCCTCTCCCACTCCCTCTGCTTGTGTTCCCTCTCTCACTGTCTCTCTCTCTGTCAAATAAATAAATAAAATCTTAAAAAAAAAAAAAAGGTTTCCAGGAATTTGGCTGTCTATACTCTTCACCTATAGGAGATTCAAATGCATGCTGACATTTCCAGATTTACCTGATATACTTTACTAAAAAAATTCTCCCTGTTTTTTTTTTTTAAAGTTTCAATCATCAGAGTTGCAAAAGTAACACATATTTGTTGCGGCAGTTCAAACAAAAGTGAAGTATCTCTATAAAACTGTCTTTGTTTTCCCCTTTAATTCCACTCCTCATATAACTGATGCTAAATGTTTAGGTTGTAAACTCCTTATTTTGTCCTTTGCTTGTATAAACATAAACATTAGCTATACTAATAAAAATAATAGCAAATAACACTTTTGTAGTACTTAGGTTAAGTTAGGTATTTTTTTTAAGGACTGGACATATATTATGCTATACATATAATCCTATGAAATAAGTATAAAGAATTGCTCCACTTTATAGATTAGGAAGCTGAGGCACAGAGAAGTCAAGTAATTTGCCAAAGGTCACACAGCTAGTGTGTGGCTGACATAACATTCAAATGCAGATCGTCTTAATTACTAAGCTATCTCTCACACTTGGTGTTCTGGTTGGTTTATGTATAGAGGATTGTACCATATGTTTCCCATAACTTTTTCACATGCCTAAAAAAATACCATTGGCTTTTTTATAGGCAATGAAGATAGATCTAAGATATTCTCGCGCCTGGTGGCATCACTTTTCATTAGGTAGATGTATCATACTTTGTTCAACTACTCTCCTAAGATGAACATGTAAATTGTTTCTATTTTTTTGCCATTACAGATAATAAACAATAAACAGTCTTGTACATAATTATCTATGTACTTGCACTTTTATTTTTCTCAGAATTGGGCTTTTGGAAGTCAAAGAACATGCACACATTTTAAAGCCAAATAAATACTACCTGTTTATCTTCCCCAAAGGTAGTGAAAATTTATAGCTGTACCGAAAGTGAATCATAGTACTTGCGCCCCATACCCACTCTAGGACTTTTCTCACTACCTAATACTTTAAATAAAAGGTATTTTGTGAATATGTAACTTTTATAACAAATCTTTTATTTTATAGTTTTGCTATTTTGTCCTATTCCTGAGAAAACATTTGTGGGCCAGTCATAAAATGATTATATGAAAACACAAGTAAAATAGTTAAATGGTGGAATTATGAATGGCTGTTGGGAATTTTCCCCTTTTTCCTGATTTCAAATATACAGTTTTTGTTTTTCCCTGCCAACGGTGTTCTTTTCTTATTATTCATTCTCTTTTATCTCTATCATGCTCCAGGGAGGATCAAGGGGGGATAGACCACCATCTGTCCTACATAGTTTATACCAGATGATCTCTTAAAGTCCCTTCCAGCTCAATGGTTCTTTGAGAATATGAATTTAAAAAAAATCAAGTTACAAATTCCAAGATGCTGGCTTGTGATTTTATGGGGCTTGTGTGTGGTTCTATAAAAAATGTAGCCATGCTATTAAAACAAGTAGGGTGTACTCGTGTCTTGGGAAAATAGAATTTCTGGAAATATAGCAGCAACCAGAACTATCTAAAGGTTGTATATTCAGGGTTGTTTTAGATAACACTCTGACGCAGGACCCTCTCTACTTGGATCCTTTTGATTCAAAGGCCACCTTAAATATAAATATCTTAATCAGAACTATAACCACGGTGATAAATTTTCACTGAGGAAACTATTCCTGAAATGGACTTCATTAGAGCAAATGCGAATCTCTTAATCAAATTTCTATATAATGCAGTTATGTCATCTCTCTTTTGTTCAATTTTAATTTTTATTTTACTGAAATTATTTGCATTGGATTTAATTCTTTTCCATCTAAATTGAACAGATTTATCAGTTTTCTGTCTATATAAAATTGCAATGATTCTACTGTCATTTTTTTGGTGGACATTATTTCCGCAGAATTCATTTTTGAGTCTACTTTTGTAGGTCTAAGTTTTGTGATGAAGATTTGGTTCTTTTGTCATTTTTATTCAATATTACATTTTACAATATGCAGTTTTAGCCATCGTCAGTTTTGTGTTGACTTTTCAGCCATCAACATCCATTGTTTATCATGAATTTGAATAAAAGGCTGGTGGTTTGCCTGTATCTTCTAGCTAATCCATAATAAAATTGTGAGCACTTTTGTGATAAAGAGAGAGAGAATAGAGAATGCAGACAGATGTAAAAAGGGAGCATCACAGTCCTGAGGAATCACTGCAGAGATCCTGAGTGCACAGAGGGACCAAAACATCTGCAGGTTTAAGGGTTTGAAGCAAATGCCCTTGGGGTCAAAATGGCAGAATCAAACCATCTGTTTTCTTGTTGCTGATGTGAATGCAGATATCTCTAACTTCTCTCCTTGGCATTCTCTCACCAGGGTTCTTACCCAGATACTTAAGTCCCTCTCTGTCTGTCTTTGACCTCCAAAAAGTCAGAAGGTGGAGGTGGCGTATGTTAACTAGGATTCCTTTCAGGTCTGAGTGACCAAAAATCCAGAGTAAGTGGAACTCTGTTCTCACTGATCTGCTGGCAGGTTCTACTACTGGTGGAATCTTGGTGTAACTAAGCCAGAGAGCAAGGGAGCCTGGCAGAAGCTGCCTCTTAGGGTCAGCTTCTAGGGCACAGAAAAGGGCAGAAAATGGATATGGGCACAGAAAAGGGCAGAAAATAGTCTCCATTTGCGCACAAAGACTATCCAGCCTAAGGAGAGAAGACACAAGCTGATTTAAGATGAGACAATATTCGATAAATACCGTAAGTACCAGTTTCTATAATAATCCGATTAGCTCCCATTGACTGATTAGTTAGTTGCCTACCACTGTGCTAAATATGTTTCAGGCAGTATCCCATTCAGTCCTCCTGACTATCTTGTGAGGTAGGCATAATCGTTCTTACTTTAAGAAATAGGAAAACAAGGGCGCTTGGGTGGCTCAGTCGGTTAAGCATCTGCTTTCAGCTCAGGTCATGATCCCAGGGTTCTGGGATCGAGCCCCGCATCGGGCTCCCAGGGAGCCCGCTTCTCCCTTTCCCTCTGCCCCTCCCCTCTGCTTGTCCTCTCTCTCTTTCTCAAAATAAATAAATAAAATATTTTAAAAAAAGAAATAGGAGAACAAGACCGAGAGATATAAAGAATGTGCTGAAGATTACGTAGCAAGTGACAGACATTAGGGCTCTAAACAATTTTTTAAAGATCTTACTTACTTATTTGTCAGAGAGAGAGAGAGTGCGAGCACAAGCCGGGGGGAGCAGCAGGCAGAGGGAGAAGCAGACTTCCTGCTGAGCAGGGAGCCCAATGCGGGACTCAATCCCAGGACCCTGGGACCATGACCTGAGCTGAAGGCAGACGCTTAACCGACTGAGCCACCCAGGCGTCCCGGGCTCTAAACAATTCTGCTTTGCCCTATAGTCATGCTCTCAACCACAGTGTGATTTCCTACCCGTGGGTCAGCAGGAGCACAAGGCTTCCAGATGGAGGCATGCGGCTGCCTCACTCTAACTTCCTGTCAAGGGTCAGTCCAACACTCTTTCCTCCCAGTTTTTTTAAGAAAGGGAAATTGGGGGCTGGGAGCAGAGGGGACTGTGTTGGGGACCACGTGACAATTTCAGTTTTTCACCATCCATTGCTGTTCCCTTCAAGAAGCTCTTGCAGCTTCCTCTCTCAGCGCCGGCTTGGCTGGCAGCCAGTTTCTGAGAAACCTGAGCCATAGGCAGGTCCAACTCATTGGTCTGGTGGGATTTAGGGAAAGAAGTGGTTTACCTCTTACCTGCCTCAAGAGCTTACTTCTGGGCAGAGATCTCTGGATAAATCGGTTTCCCCATGACCCTGTAGGAGAGAAAGCCTATTTGTTGGGATGAGCTTCTTGAAGATAGAGAATGTATTTAAAATTACAAAATCTTTCCTGCTGCTCAAAGAAACCAAATTGGAAGAAATCCTGATTGAGTTCGACTGGTTTTCCATTTTTGTTTCTGTCAGCAACTACATGCAGTTGAGCTTCTAGACAAGACATAGGAAAATGAATGGTGCTGAACAACTATATTATCTTGGACCAGTCCAGTGGGGAAAAGTAGTAAAAAGCATCAGAACATTAGCCCTAATGGCTTTCCAGAGCAAAGTGCAATGGCTATGAAGACACACAATTGGTGAAGTCATTTGACAGACACTCGTGGCCAGCACTTTGTATAGGGCTAGAGCTGTCAACTGACTTCTTCTCCGTATGAAGTTTACCGTTACCACTGAAAATTCTCACAAGCACATTGTGTGCCACTAATCACAAAGAACCCAAGAGGGACCTACGGTTCCATTTCCCCACAGCCCTGTCTCCTTCAATTCAATGACAAGTTTCCCGAAGGGAGTACTGGGCACTTGGGATCTCGGCCTCATTTCCCATTCAACTCTCAGCTCCCTGACAGGTTGACCCTCTCCTCCTCCAGCCTCCCTAATTTCGCCATTGAGCTCATTTCACTTGGGAATTTGCTTGACCTCAGGAGCATTTGTCATTGTCCACCACTCCCTTATTTCTGGATTTTCTCTTTCTCTTTGTCTTCTGATTTTCCTCTGCCTCTCTGCCTTTCCCCTTTTCACTAACTTCTCTTTTCTCTCTTGCTTCCCCTTAAATTCGAATTTGCTCTTTGGTTCTTTCCTTGGCTATTGAGTCTCCTCCCTTAACACCCTCTCTATATTGTTTCCATTACCTTACCTTCTAGTCTTCACCCAGCAGCCACACACTAAGACACCCAATCTCTAGCCTCAGTCTCTCTCCTGTGTTCCAGGTCCATATAGATACCCAGCTTCCTTCTGGATGTAGCAGACATCCAGAGTCTGTGCTCTGCCCAGACTCCCTTGGGTCCTTTTTAGTATTTCTGCGTGTCACAGGCTCACGCCCCACTCTTCAAGCCTGCCCTTGTGGCTTCTTCCGAGGGCTGTCTTGGATTACTAGAGCAGCTTTGCCTACATGCAGGGAGAGTTGTAACTTTCCAGGTTTCTTTCTATGTGCATGCCCATCCCTTCCCCCAATCTGCCTCATTGTCACTCAAGAAAAATTCTTTATTTAAATTCAATTTATTCAACATATAGTGTATTATTAGATTCAGGGGTAGAATTTAGTGATTCATCAGTTGCATAAAACACCCAGTGCTCATTACATCAAGTGCCCTCCTCCTTAATGCGCATCACTCAGTTACCCCATCCTCCCAACTTCCCCTCCAGCAACCCTCAGTTCGTTTCCTAGAGTCCAGCATCTCTTATGGTTTGCCTCCCTCTCTGATTTGACCTATTTTATTTTTCCTTCTGCCTCATTGTCACTCTTAGCCAAGGGCCGGTGGGTACAGAGTATGAAAGCCCAGCTCCCTTGTATTGAGTGGTGCGTTGGGTCTGCCAGGAAGAAGATGCCAAGGTGGACTTAAGAGTGGAAGTAATTCTTGGAGGGTAATATCTATGAAGGTAAAGGACAGAGGAAGTGAGAGTAGGCAGAGAAAACCTTCACAGGTCTGACATCTGTGAAAGGAGAGAGAAGGAGGATTAGATAGAATGAGCCTCAGACTTCAGTGCAGTGCTGAGAAAGTCTCAGCTAGTCCAGTGGGATGCTCTAATGCAGACTGTAGAGGAGTCCCAGAAATGGTGAGTCGTTATAATTATACTCTTGTGCTCAGTGGGCTAGAGGCTGCTTGGGAGGCACATGTTCTCTCCGCTGGAAAGCAAAGGCTGAAAGCACCAATAACCAATTGCTAACAGCCAAATGCATTCTTGAAAAGAGGACGTAGTTGCTTGTTCAACTGGTTGCCACAGGTCGGGGAGCTGTGAGATGATTCTGACCCGTCAGAATTTACGCTAAAGCCTGTGTTGCCTCCCCCACGCCCTTATTAATCTCACCCTGGGAGCACTTCCTTTATAAATAACTTGCACATGAATTCTTGACTTATAAGCTGTTTGGGAGAACCCAACCTAAGACATGGGCAAATCCAGTGTGATATTCTACAGACTCTTTAAATACAACATTATCAAAACTGAACACCTTGTCTTTTCATTTAGATTTTTCCTTCTCTGTAGCCAGTGACACCTCTGCCCACCCAGTTACCCAAGCTTGAAACCTGGGCACCACCTTTTGATCCTATCCTTATTCTGCACATGCAATACATGACTAAATCCTGTTTCTTTTCACTCATTATTTCTCAGATCCATATCTCCTCTCCAATCCTACTGACATGGATGCCACATCACGATCTTTTTGCTGGATTATGGCAACAGCTCCGTCACTAGTTTTGGCCTCCAGGATACCCTGCCCTAATCTATCCTCCACATTGCAGCCAGAATGAGCTACCTAAAAGTACAGGGGCTGTGTGGTGGAAGCAGAATCTGTAAATTGTGGGAAGAGCACAAAGGTCATTCTGAAGGTTGCAAGCAGTCTTTCCATTCTACAGTGCAAAAAAATTTTACTTTGAGAGTAGCCTATCCCTTGTTCTGAGAAGAACCCTTTGTTTCTTTTGCCTGTGTAGATAAGTCTTTTTTTTTTAAGATTTTGTTTATATGAGAGAGAGAGAGTGTGCGCACGTGCGTACGAGCTGGGGTGGGGGAGGAGAGGCAGAGGCAGAGGGAGAAGCAGACTCCCCGCTGAGCAGGGAGCCCACGTGGGCTAAATCCCAGGACTCTGGGACCATGACCTGACCCGAAGGCAGCCGATTCACCAACTGAGCCACCCAGGAGCCCCTGCCCATGTAGATATACAGCAAAAGCCAACTTACTGTTTTTGAAAACGTCAATATGATGGGTACTTCTTGGCTCACCAGGGTCCTATGGCAAGGATACTGTTGGTGAGTATGAATAGGCAGCACTCCATGTTTCAGACAAGTCTGATCAGAGAGCCAAGCTGGGGTGGTGGTGGGGGTAGGGTATTAATTGGATGGAAGGATCTTTTTGAAGTTCATGCTTGAGTCATGGCTTTCCCAACTGTGGCGTGTGTGAATTATCCTATCCTCTTAAGAATTTCTAAAAATGAAAACTAGCCTTTTTCTCCATTAGAATAGTGATTTGTTAGACTAAACAGAAAACAATATCAAGTTATATGTATGTGTTTGGTTAAGGTGGACGTTCTCTACCTCAAACTTTTGGGGGCTGCTGGCCTAGCTATGCTTTGGGGATCAGTCATTTGGGGGGTACAAAGATTAAGTTCAACAGTTTATTACAGTCTTCTTCCCAACTAGAGTGTTAGCTTCTTGGTGGCAAAATCTTTGTCTGCTTCAGTTTTTATTTCCCTTAAATTCCCAGCATACAGTAGTTGTTCAGTATTTTTGTCTGAATGATAATCTGATTCTTACTACTCCATGTTGCAGAATGCTTATATTCCAAGTACCACAAGATAAACACTGAACTTGAAAAAGTAAGAAAAACAGATAATCTTGTGATTTTATAAAACGATGAAGTTAGCTTTTAATCTGAATTTAGTGAGCATTATTCAGTCTGCAGAATTCTCTACTTTGTTTATTTTGGAGCAGTAAGTACCTTTACAGCCCTGTTTATTGATCAGTATGAGATAAGCTAATCTTTTTTCAATCCTTCTGTGGTCACCAATGTGACGGAAAAATGGCTCATACAAAGCTCCAAATGGATAAAGAGAAAAAGATCAAGAAGAAATGTGGCTCATGCCTTTGTATCACACTAGCATTACTGATAGCCCAAATAAAGCAGAGAAAATAATCATTTGTAGAATATCAGTCTATAATGTGTACCTTGGTATTTATACAGTTCCTGATCAATAACAAACCAGTTTTAACATGTTTGGTATGCTGTAATGATGGGCCAAAGCATGCAAAATGAAATTTAATTGGAACAAATGAAAAATATCATTCAAAAGCTTGAGATATGTAGCATAACTTAAAAAGACAATTTAAGAGAGTTTATTTGAAACTCAAGACAAATAAACAATGCTATTTTGCTGCTAAGAAAACAAATTCTATCTTAGGGTATATTACTAGGATATAATGCCTGAGAAAAATGAGCGGACAAGTTGTACTTTCTGTAAGTGCATCAAACCATACCAGAGATATTGTGTTTGATTCCACGTATGACTTTTTGAGATGGCCATTGACAACCTAGAAATGTTCCTATGTTGAATGGGGAAAGGGAAGAGTTAAAATTCACTGTAACTGTTATTAGTAAAACGGGGCTATGATGCACCCTCTGCCCTGTTCATCTACCTCTGCCCATAGATAAAGTAGGGAAATATGATAGATCTGTTAGAGTCAAACCATAAAAGTTAACACAAACTGGATGAGAAGAGAGAGATCCCATGAAACAGTATATAAAGTGCTATTTATACAGTATTAATATACATTAAACAAGTCTGAGGAAGAAAGCATCTATTAGAGAGGTGGGAACATGGAAAAAATGAGTCATAGAAGAAACGATGAGTCATGCCTAGCCAAGCCCAGTTCCAGACAGAAGGGGTCCAAAGTTATGGAGTTTTGCAGATGGTCAAGGGCATTTCTATTGTGACTGAAGAATAAAACCAGCTCTCGTAATTTGATCCCATTAAACATTCAAACCATCTACTTCCTTGTGTTCTGATTCTGTGCTCACCAAGCAAGCTCCCTTCTAACTTCAAAATGACTTCCCACGTGGGCTTGCCTACAGGGAGGGAATGTGCCAGTGTGCCATCTGAGTATTCTGGGATGTGTGACAATAATGGCTCTCGTTGTAAATGAGTCTGTTGGCATTCTGTATCTCATGGGCTTGGCTAATATGCGTCTGCCCTGGAGGGTCAGAGCCACTTTTGATGTACTTACAGAATCTGGTTTTAGAAATTGCAAAGCAGAGCCACAGACTCTGGA